GGAGGTCTAGTGCTCCTGGAAACGGAGGGTTGGCCTGCAGAGTATGGAGTTGGAACCCTTAAAAAAAGGTTTTTTTCAAAGATAAGTCCAGTGAATAACTGCCTCTTCTTATACAGGTTAAATTCCTCCGCTCTAGTTCTCAGCTGATGTGCTTTGTGCAGGATCTGTCCATGCTCACCAGAGGAAGCTGCACACGCATTTTTTTCCCCTCTCCAGTTTAGGAGTATACATACTCCCCACAGTTCCAAGATCTGGGAGAAAAAATATTGTGACTGCTGGATTGAAGATGAGCTGACAGATGTTCAACCTGGGATGTAAATCAAATGTAATAGTTATGTAGGGCCAGGCCTACAAGAATGTGTGTGTATCCTCTCATTCATTTGGGATTAGGCACCTAAATATCTTTATGGACCTGATATAAGCACTGATATAAGTGCTTGGTGTATAGAACACTAATAGCAAGAAATTGGTTTCTGTTTCTTTTTTTTTAATACAACATTATTTTGCCTCTCATATCCCTCCCCCTCCCCCAAAAGAGAGGAAGGGACCTTCTTTTAAATACAAAAGGGGGATATTCTTTTAAATACTAACAGTTTTGCTCCCACTGTATTTTTTCTTGCTGGGGATGCTCAAGTCTTGTACTCCATGTATGTTTGGATCTAAAACAAATGGTTGCATATCAATTCCAGATTTATACATTTTATCTTTGGTTATGCCAAAAACAGGTGTGCTGACACCATATTACTGCTGGCTGTCAGCATTTGGCTGTGCCTTGAAGATTTTGCTGTGAGTACATCAGTTTTCAGTGAATCCTTTCCTCTTCTGCTTGGTCAGCATGTATTTCAATATTGTGTCCTCCAGAGGCCAAGATATTTGGAGTCACTGTGAGGATCCTGAACTACAACTTAACAGAAGATTTATATGATACCAATAGTTCAGCATATCAAGAATTTTCAAGTCTGTTGTTTACAGAGGTAATGTTAATGTACTATGGGTAATATATATTTTTGAATTGAAAAAATATTTAATTTAATAGAGAATTTTCTACACAGCTGAAATGTCCCTTGAAAATCATCGTACTATTTCCTGTGAACTATCTTTGTAATTAAAACAAAATCCATCTGACTAAGCAGATCAAGCCCTTGATCTTGTTAGCAATAGTGCCAGTGGTAATTTTCCCTTACAGAAGAGTAAAGGAATAAAAAAATCAGGTGCACAATAGGGACTCGTTCCCTTGGATCTTTACATTGGTAATAAACTTGCACTAAACTGACCTAAGGCTTTTTAATGGATTTTTGAAATGACTTTGCTGGCTTTCATTTCAGTGTTGTCTTCTCAAAAAAAAAAAAAAAAAGTTAAGACTGTTCTCAAAGTTCCTCTTTCTTTAAGCAAAAGTGACTGACTTAGGCTTTGTTTTCTAACTCTCTTCATTATATACCCACATATAGCCACTATCAATGCTCAGGTATAATCAGCCATAAACAAAACTGAGTCATGAACTCTGTTACCAACTCTCATCTTCCTGAACAGAGAGGGCATTTCAGACACCATAGTTCCTTACAGTTTTGTTGTAGAGAACAGGGCCCAAACAGAGGAACTTAGATCTTGATCCAAAACTAAACTTTCCCAAAATACAAGGGATCTCATAAACATATGTGAATATAAAGCTGGCTTAAAAAAATTGCTAACATTGGTGAAGCTATATTTTCAAAAGGCATTTACTCGTGAGAAAAAATGGTAGTTGAGCCTTCTGTCATGGCTTTTTTTCCCATAGTTGCAAATTGTCCACTTTTGTTGCGCAGATGTTATCAAAGAACCTACTCTGAGGTTGATGCAGATCTAGTTGGCATCATGAATTTGGGAAGGAAAATAAAGGCTGGCCATCTGTGCCTGTTGTGCCTCACTGTGTGCTTGGGAGCATGCTGTGCATTTCTTATTTCTTTCTTCTTCTCTTTTTCTTGCTTCCCCACCCAGATATGAACTTAGATCATTTAGCAAGTTTATAGATTTTTTTTTTGAGCAAACTCTGGCTGAATAGGAACAAAGATGTATTGATTTATGGCTATGCATTCCATGCTCAAAGGTGTGCTTTGAGGTGCATATAGAAAAAAAAGGTTCTAGCAAAAGAGATGCTTCCCAGAGCAGAGAGAGAGAGTTGGTAGTGTGAAACCTACCAACTTCTGCACAGCTCAAATATTGACAGCACTATACATCTTTCATATTCAGAGTAACACCATTTGTTCCATAAGCTAAATGTTAACTCAGCTGAATTAGCTGAATGTTAATCAATCATGATGTAATTGTGATATTATGATGTAATCGTGATATTGCCTTTAAGGTGAGCTGTTTCAAATATATTTTCTGGAAGCTATCTGCCCATTTTTCTTGCTGCTCACCTTGAGATTACTTTGTCACTGTACTCAGTGCAGGTTGGCCTTGGACTGGTGAGTTTCAGGTAATCACTGCTGTCTAAAGTTATACCTCAGGTTAATCAAACCTTTCCAGAACCAGTTTTCTGCACTAAGATGATGTGGCACAAAACAGCCTGTATCCACACTCTTTTGTCTTGCGAAGTATGATGGCCACATTCAGATTGACTACTGAGACTGACCTCTGGCATATACTTAATGCCAAACCCTACCCTGGGTACTGCTTGCGGCAAGATGAGTGGTCAGATGAGTCCTGTTTTCAAATGAGAATCTCAAACGTTGACCAATGAGGCTCTTATTTCTGTGTGTTTATATAGTCTCTGAAAAAAAAAGGGTTTATAAAACACTTTGAAGCTTCCCCTTTAACCACGTTTTTCTACTGTGCATGTATAAATCTTTAAAAATGGTACCACCACAGTTCAATTTTAAAATAAGCTACTCTTATTGGTTTCCTAATTTTTGATGCTTCTCTTACTTTATTCAGATTGGAAATTCACTTCCACCCAGCATTTCTGCCTTATACAACTCTGGGAAGCTGAAAGTGCAGATTGAATCTCTGCAGGCTGGAAGTATCATTGTGAGGCTCAGAATCACTGTACAGGATCCTGAATTTTCCATCGATGCCTCAACATTTGCCCCAATGCTTTCTTACCTATACAATGGTTCTAGGATTTTGGTGGATCAACAAAACACTGTAGTAGAAGGTATATTTTAAAACAGCAAAGCAGTGTTCATATTTTGATAGCCCATGGTGTCATTAGCTCTCTTCCTGAAAAGAATGTTTTAGAGAAACACAGTACAATGTGAATGTTGGACAGAAAACCATGACGTCAGAACACCTCTGTGAGATTTTATCTGTAAGCTCAGAAGAAGGAGCACTTGGCTGTCCCCAGATGCCCCAGATGCAGGCACTCTTTC